TATGAGAAACTACTTTGGCAGTAACAATACACAATGTACTAACCATTGTTACTCTCCTAAAATCTTGTTTTGAGATTTTGTATCATTGTTTTTATTTTTTTTCTTTAAAATAAAAATAACTGATGTCAAAAAATAAAACAGAAAAAACCAAAAATAAATAAATAAATTGAACTAGGAAAAAAAAAAAAAAGAAGTGACAAATGATGAAACGTACACTTTAGAATTGATGGAATATATTAAGTGAGCGGTCTTGGTAAAGTAAGATACAAGGAGAGGCTTCCCAACAAAAGAGCTATGTGTTTTCTTGTCTCCCTTTCTCCTTTCCCTCTTCCCAACTTAAAGCGTGAGGGCTGGGCATGTCGCCAGTGGCAAAGCACTTGCCTAACATGTGCGAGTCCCTGGGTATAATCCCTGTAACACAGTCACACATAGGGGATTTATGTTTAAGTCTTACAGACTTCTAAAGCAGAATGCCAGTACATATTCTCTAAGAATGAAACTGTAAAGGAATGGGTGTGGAGACAAGAGCAAAATCACAGACAGGAGGAAAGAAGGCCAGCACTTTGGGAAGAGTGGGCCCTGCTCCTCCCAACTATGTATCTGAGGAGAGCAGCAGGTGGTAATGCACCCCGCACCTGCCCCCAGAAGCTTCTGAGCGAGCTGGCCCTCTTTCTAAGGGCCTCGGACCTCCGTGCCCACCTCCTTGTTGAGTCGGTCCACAGTCCTGTCCAGCAAACGTTTCTGCTCCTCCAGCTCCGCCTTGCTCCGCCGTAGCACCTCCCGCTGCTTCCCTTCCTCCTCAAGGGCCCGGTTCAGAGCCTGTTGCTCCTGCCCCAGGCGTGCCAGGCCCCGCTGGGCCTCGTCCAGCCTGACCTCCAGGGCCCGCTTGGCTGCTGCCAGGCTCCCCTCCTCCTCCTGTGCTGCATTCAGGGCCTCCTCAAGTCGCTGTTTCTCTGCCTGGGAGAACAGAGAGTGGGGGGTTGGGCTGGCAAGAGGCTCAAGAGTCATTCTGAAGTATGTAGATAACAGGGAGGAAAAACAGGTATTTATGAAAAAAAGTGCAATGAAACCAGGCTCAGAGGAAGCAGCAAAGAGATCAAGACACAGCTGGTGAGATAGCTCAGCAGACTAAGTGCCTGCCTAGGCAAACATAGGGACCAGGGTTCGATTCCCTGCATCACATGCCATGCCGGCCCCGCCTCTAGGCGTGCTGAGCTGGCCACTGAAACCTGACGTTGTGGCGCATGCCTGTAATCCCGGTACTGGGGAGGCTGAAAACAAGAGGATCGCTATCAGAGCTATGTAGTAAGACTCTGTACCAAACACATTAAGGGAAAAAAAAAAAAAAAAAGACCAAGACACAGAGACCAAGCAAAAAGAGATAGAAGACAATACCAGTGCAAAGTCTGAAATATTCACAACAAAGCATAACCCAGGGAATAAATGTAGGGTTAACAGAGGACTTGGGAAGGCAAAACAGAAGCACACCACTGAACACAAAACCTGGCCGAGTATTTTGCAAGGGAGGATTTGGCTGGGGATGGAGGGCAGTGAAGGCCAGAGCAAGTGGTGCTGAGGGCAGAAGCACTGACCTCCAGCCGCTGCACCTTGTCCCGAAGTCGTGCCTCCACCGCTTCCCCGCCCTCCGCCAGCCCTCGGGCCTCCTTCAGCTGCTGCTCCAGACCCAGGATGCGTCGGCGGAAGTCGTCATTTTCCTCCTGGGTCTCCCGAAGTGTGGTTTCCACTGCTGCCCGGCGCTGCCCCAGCACCGAGGCCTCCTTCTCTGCTGCCAGCTTGGCCTGCGGGCAGTGCGAAGCAGCGGCTCAGACCTCACAGCCTAGGCCACTGAGCACACACATACACGCACCCCAGAGGGCCAGCCGTCTGAGAGCCCATCCAGGGACCAACAGAGGTGGGAGGAGAGGGAGCCCCAGATGAGAGTCCCAGCCCTACAACCTGCTGGTAAATCTTACAGCTGCCACACACAGGACCAAGAGCTGCTGGTACATACCCATCACAGGGAACCTTCCATGCCCTCTGGCTCCTCAGCCCTGACCCCTCGGCCTCCACCTTGTAAGCCCTAGGCCCACTCCCCTTGCCTTGGCGGCCTCTTCACAATCTAGTTTCAGCTGCTGGAGAGTTTTTTGTAGCTGGAGGTTCTGCTGTTCCAGCTCCAGGCCTCGATCAGCTTCCACCCTCAGGGCTACCAGCTGCTTCTCCAACTCCCGGTCCCGGTGTCGCCCAGCCGCCTCCTGGCTCTTCCGCTCCGCCTGCAGATCCTTGAGCTCCTCCTGTGTGCGTTGCAGTTCCTAGGAGGAAAGGGGAATGGTAAAGGGTCTCGAGGTTTAATTCTCAAAGCGTCTTGCGCTCACAGGTGGGACTTGGGGGAGATGATGACCACTGTGACACGTACTCAACAGCGCATTAGCCAACCGAGGAGTTTAGAGCTGAATGTGGTTGAGCTGAAGCCTGCTTGGAGGAGGCGAGTCACTGGGGATGTGACTCTCTCCTTCCTCCCTCGACCCCTCTCTGCTTCCCACAGCCAGGCCAGGAGCTGTTTCTCTTCTCTGTGCCCCTCTACCAGGCCATCCTGCCTTGAAGCCAAGTAACTATGAACTGCAACCTCTCACACTGAGCCAAAATAAACATTTCCTCCTTACAGTTGGGGGTGTTGGGTATCTGAGCCACAAGAAAGTAACTAAGACAAGGCAACACACAGAGCCAGATGGCAGTGCCATAAGGTGCAGGGAAAGTAAGATCATGTGGCCACTTTGAAAACCAAGCTCTTTCTAAAAAAGCTGAACATAAAACTTAAAATATGACCCAGCAAGTCCACTCCAGAGCTGAAAATACATAGTTCACATAAAATTTGTACGTGAATGCTCACAGCAGCATTATTCATTCATCAGGCCAAACTGAGAAAAGAACCAAATGTCCATCAGTTGATGAATGGGCAAAATATAGTCCAGTACAGCCAAGAGTGGAGTGTTATTCATCCCAAAATGGGAGAAGATACTTTCTCTGACATGGTTGAAATTTTTAGATAGTGGTTATGGTTTCACAACTTTGTGAATAAACTTAAAAGTACTATATGCTTTATAAAAGAAGAACTGTCAGGCATGATGGTGTACGCCTATAATCCCAGCACTTGGGAAGCTGAGGCAGAAGGACCGTTGTAAATTTGAAGCCAATCTGGGCTATATAGTAAGTTCAAGGCCAGCCTGAATTACATAGCAAGATTCTGTCCCAAAATAAATAAGTAAAAAAATAAATAAGTGCAGGAATTTTATGGTATGTGAAATATAATCTCATTAAAATAAATGATGCAGGCCAGGCTTGGAGGGGCATGGTTGTAGTCCCAGAACTCAGGAAGCTAATGCAAGAGGATTGCCATGAGTTCAAGACCAGCCTGAGCTATACCGTGAGTTCAAGGCCAGCCTGAACTACATAGTGAGACCCTGCCTCAAAAATAAATAAAATAAAATGATGGAGAGAAATAGATGAGCATATGGATTAAACAAAACATTTAAAAAATTGAAAACCAAAAACATGATACAATGAATAATGATATATCTCTAATCTATCTTCTTTCTTTCTTTTTTCTCTTTTTGAGGCAAAGTCTTATTATGCAATTCAGGTTGGCCTTGAGCTCACTGTCTCCAATTCTCAATGATCCTCCTGCCTCAGGTTCCTGAATGCTGGGATTTTGCATGTGTCTAATTTCTTTTAAAGAGAAAATTAAATATGAATTCTGATTCTAATTCTTTAGTTAATACTCTGGAAGGCCAGCTAAATAACTCAGTGGATTAAAGCAAATGCAAGCAGGCACAGGGGCTGGGGGTTCAATCCCTGGGCCTGCTGTGCTGGTCCCGTCCCCGCGGTGTGCTGAGACAGCAATTGAGACTGGGCATGGTGGTGTGACCCTGTAATCCCAGCTCTTGGGAGGCTGTAAACAGGCAGATCACTACATGTCTGATCTAGTAGTGAGAC